TCTCCACAGTAACCCATGCCTCCCACCGCAATCCAGGCTCTGCCCCAAACGCAACACAAGTACCCTCCCCAACTCTAATCCAAGCTCCGCATGCCTCACCGCAATCCTACATATATGGGGTTAGGATGGATGCAGGGTGGATTTAGGATAGAAGCAGAGTGAAATTAGGACGGATCGATGCACAGTGGATTTGGGACAGATTCAGTGGATTTAGGACGGATGCACAGTGGATTTAGAACGGATGCACAGTGGCTTTGGGACGGATGCACAGTGAATTTAGGACGGATACACAGTCGATTTGGGACGGATGCACAGTGGATTTAGGACGGATACACAGTGGATTAGGGACGGCTGCAGTGGATTTAGGAGGGATGCACAGTGGATTTGGGACGGATGCACAGTGGATTTAGGTTGGATTCAAGTTGGATTAAGGGTAGATTTAGAATGGATACAGGGTGGATTTACAATGGATGCAGCAAGGATTTGGATGGTGAAACATAGGGGGGATGTAGGTAGGGTGAAGGAGATATATGTAGAATGAATGGATTTAGGATAGAAGCAGGGTAGATTTAGGATAGATTCAATGGTGGGGTTAGGATGGATGCAGGGTAGATTTAGGATAGAAGCAGGGTGGATTTAGGATAGATTCAATGGTGGGGTTAGGATGGATGCAGGGTAGATTTAGGATAGATGCAGGGTGGATTTAGGATAGATTCAATTGTACCCTGCATCCATCCTAACCCCACTATTGAATCTATCCTAAATCCACCCTGCATCTATCCTAAATCTACCCTGCATCCATCCTAACCCCACCATTGAATCTATTCTAAATCCACCCTGCTTTTATCCTAAATCTATCATGCAATTGTCCTAAATCCATCATAATCACAATAAATCTGAGAGGAAAATTTTTTTTTCGTTCAAGATAGAAACTTGTATCTGAAAAAATACTGTGTTTGTGTAAAAGACAGAACGTCTTTGTTTTTACATGGTAATGGTTGTATATGTTTTATAAGTCGTTTACTAATAGCCAGTATTTCAGTGTCTAAGATTTGCATGCCGTGTTATTAAAATGTACTTATATTAGTATAAATGACGTAATTTTTAGCATGTTTACTAATACATTACTCATATTTTTTACTATGATATTATATGAAATGTCATTTTTACCTGAATCTCATAGATAAATGTGTGACATATTTTATACTACTGCATATTATAATTTCAACAGATATAAGATAGTTTTAGTGATTGTTCTCTGTGAGTGAGTGTACAAGGACCTGTCTACTCGCGTGCTATCATGATGTGTGGACGACCAAGGAACGATTATTGATTCAAAAAATTGCTTCAGGAGCCACAGTTCTACCCGTGTAACCGTTTGCTCCGCAGCAGAAGTAGTGAATGCATACACAGGTATAGCTGCGTGCGCAGGTGTTCTGTAATTGATATGTGTACCTACGGTAATGTTCACACCTGATCTTAATGAATCTATAAAAATATTTACGCCTAGTTTCTTCTACGGAGACTGAGAGTGTTGTCGTGAGGCCAACTGCGAACAATGGAAAAGCACTAGCAAAATCATCCAGGAAAATTGTGAATACAAATCAATATGAGCAACAACAGGTCGTCCGGCTGTGGGTCGATGCTATGGGTTATGTACGCGTCTAATTGCTTGGCATGTATATATTGTCATGAGCATTCATCCTACATATCTACGCCGTGTTAGCAACCCCTTCTTAGGTGTTAACAAATATATATCACTGCTATTGGTGGTGTATGTTTGGTATTTTACTATATGTCTCATACACTTGCGTTACTCAGTAGCTGTTGTGTGCAGTAATAGATAAAATATATATCTAAAAAACAGCATGTAACTGTTGATGATACTGTATAAATTGTATGGATGCCTACACCGATGTTTGTGAGTGTGTCTTGTGTGCTGTATGGTAGAATCCTTGCACACATGTAACTTAGTCTGTGAGACTTACACGGCCGGAATATTCTGCGCGGAATACTCTTGACTCGGACCTATATGCACATCTTGTGCTAGCACTGTGCGTTGTTTTTTTTCCGCGCGTGTGTGGTGGCACAGGTGTAAATGCGTGTTCATTTGTTCGTAAATTTGTGCTTGTTCTTTTACGTGTCCGCTATTCCGATCTCTGATTCTTGGATATCTAAATGACGTCTCTATAGCACTATGTATGAGATGCATACCTACAGGCGAGGCTGCAACAGCCGAGGTTCGCTGAAGTTATTGCCAATCAATTATTGTCTAATCAATAATTTACGCAACATTATTACATTATAGATTATGATCGTGATTGCTAAATGACTGACTGTAATTGCTGTTCGTCTACAAGCAATGCTGATGGGTACTGAGAGCTACGTGCCTCGTTATGCCTGCTTATCCGCCCTGTAGTGGGTCTTGGGGCTTTAGCGTCGGTTCCTGCCGTGTATGACCGTGCGTTGCTGTCTGCTGCTGCCGCTGCTGCTGCCGCTGCTGCTGCTGCTGCTGCTGCTGCTGCTGCTGCTGTTGCTGCTGTCTGCTGCTGCTGCTGGTGAGTGTACGCATGTCTATGCAGCAGACAGACATGCGTGCATGATGCTGCGTAGATAACTCCAGCTGCCATCAGCCCTCTAATTGTAAAGCGTTGCGAGAAGGCTTCATTGATTCGTGTCTGCTTCTCTAGTGATGATGCCACATACGTGCTGACGTGAATGTCTGCGCGTGCGCACGTGCGTGCGTACGTACGTACATGAGTGCGGACGGGCGGGCGGTTAGCCCATAGAAATATATCTATAGATATCTAAATATATCTATATGTATATAGTCTATGATGTTAGAGATGTCCTGTTTTCGGCGCCAGCTAAATATATCGGTTACGTTCTAGCTGTATTCACTATTATATCATGTCCGTAATTGTGTCATGTTAATTAGTTTATTTGGCATTTATTGATGGCAAAATATAGCAATATATATGTAGTATAGGGTTGGAGTTATAGCGTTCCCCAATCGATGTTACACGGCTTGACAATGATACATGATAACATGGATAGACATTTCCTCTCGGTATCGGCCACGCGTGCACGCACGGTACTGTATTTAATACGTTGGCAGCTTGCAGCATACGATGCGTACGTATACGCTGCTACCATCCCGTCTCTCCGCCCGTGGGTTTAAACGGTTATGTCGGCCGTGGTAATCCGTCACGGACTGGAGGTGTGTGCGTGCGCGCGCGTGCGTGTCTGGCTGGCGTATACTAGGTGTGCGTGTATAGGTGTGCGTCTGCATATGCGTGTGTATGTGTGTGTACTGTAGGTGTGACCACGCCGTGCAGCGTCCTCGCTAAGCATGAGTGATGACGTAAGAGGCTGTTCAAGCGTGTAGGTGAAGATAACTAGACTAGTTCAGCAAGAGCTCGCTACGGCTCGCCTGCCGATGATATTTGTTCAATAAACTCGAGGTAGAGTCGTAATGGAGATGCCTTGTTTTTCTATCTACTTTTACTTTTCGTCTTACGGCCGATGTCAGGAGGACACGCGAGTTTTCGCTCTGTCATGTCTGTATGTGTGCACATTGTCTACCGCGCGTGCATTCCTGCGTTTAAACCTTTTCACCGGAGTAGAGTCGGGTTAAATATTCGTGTACGCGGTACAGGTAGTAGGTATTTTCGGTACGCGGGATTAGACTATATTAGGGACCGGGAAATACTAGTTAATATATGGGAATGGGAATTTATGGAAAATATGAAAAATGGGACTGCCAATATTATATAGTTGGGAACTAAGAAATGGTAGTTTTAACTGGGCACCGGGAATGAACCCCCACCGTTCTCCTTCTTGATAAAAAATCTACCAAACTTACGTGACAATATAATTTTCGTATAGGTGCATTTTTGGCAAGTATAGAAAATAACGCAAATCGTAAAATATGAAGCATGTTGTGAAATGTTCTATTGTTGTTTGTATACATAATAATAAATATATATAATGATAATAATATATTGTAATATAAGAAAAAAATAAGATACTATATGCAATGTAAAATTATAATTGATAGTATTTACAATTGCATTTTTTTAAATAGTAGTAGTCGTAGTCAATATAAGATCAATATACAAAATCTTGTAGGATAATAAAAGTACCACATAATAATAATAAATAGTAAAATATAGCAATAGTACATGCATAAACAATTCTCTCACGATAAAATTTCATGGTTTGTTTGTTTCAAGTTGTAAGAAATCGTACATGTTCAAGCACCTCCAACTCAACCTCTCAACAGTAACCCAAGCTCTGTCCCTAACGCAGTACAAGTACACTTCCCCACCGCAGTCCAAGCTCTTCTGCTGCAACGTAAGTAACCTCTCCACAGTAACCCATGCCTCCCACCGCAATCCAGGCTCTGCCCCAAACGCAACACAAGTACCCTCCCCAACTCTAATCCAAGCTCTGCCTCACCGCAATACAAAGCCTGCCCCACTGCAATCCGAGCCCTCATTTGTAACACAAGCACCCCCGCACTGCAATCGAGCCCTCCATTGCAGCACCCTTTCCTACCGCAATCCAAGCCCTGCATCACCACAACACAAGTACCCAACCCCTACCAGAACACAGATCTATACCCCACCGCTACACGTCCCCCACTGCGATTGAAGCGCCCCCCACACACACCACACCAATCAACCCTCCCCTAGAACACAACCTAAGCACCCCTTCCCTTATAGACGACAACCAAAGCACCCTCCTACACCACAATTACTGCACCCCTTCCCCCACACACCGGATACGAACTGTAGACGAACTCCGGATGGCTTCTATCACGTGGTTGCTATACGATAATACGAACGTTTACATCACGGATACACTA